CTGGCTGGGCCACAAGGAGAGCCTGTCTCAAAACAAAAAAAGGCCATCCCTTCTTCCCCCTGCCCCCTACTGAAGCTGGACTGCCCCCAAGAACAAAAGAATGCTTTTTACATGTTGTGACAAGGCTTCTTCCATGCCCTAAGTGGCCTTGCTATTATCTGCTGTGTTTATAAGTTCAAGCTAAGCTAAATGATTTGAGCCCTAAGAGGGCTATCCCACCAGTTGCCACATGTGGGTAAGGTCACCCTGGACCTTGCATCCCAGGGCAATCCGGCTGCAGCATGAGTCAACGCTACCAAAAACAGCAAAGAACAGACAGTTTGGGGGTGGCCTATTCAAAGTCAGTGGCTACCCAGTGCAGCCATCTCCACCCTGGAGATCCAGTGGAGACCCAGGCCAGAGGGGAAAGCACCCAGATACCCTACGGGAAATGCTTCATTCCAGGGTCTTTTGTCCCCTTCACTTTCATCTTTCTTCTGGTTTAAAGATCAGCCCAGGGCATCACACATTCCAGGAGAGCACTGTGCCACTAAGCCACACCCAAGCACAACTTGTCACCTTCTGAACACCAAACCTGGCATTAGATCCTGGAGACACCGGGACTTCTCTGGAAGAACATCCTGTCTAACCCGGGGAACAAGAATGTCAACAGGCTATGGCTCACCAGAGAAAGACAGCTGGCCCTAAGAATCACACTAGAAAGTAACGGATGTTTTTTGTTTGTTTGCCGGAACATATGGAGAATCATATAAACAAAAGAACATTAAGAGGAAAAAAAAAATTGTCACCCTAAGCAATCGTCCTTTTCGATATTGCTATTCCCCTGTAACTAATTTTCATCAACATCAAATATTTAAGGCTCATTTGGAAAAATGTTTCAGTACTTTATACCAGTAAATGAAAACACCACCACCCATATCTGCCTTCCTTCACCAAAATCGGTAGTGACTTCTGCTGTTATGATGGAGGAGAAACAAACACATCTTTCAAATAAATACCCGCACTTTGGGAGGATACTGGAAGAAAAAAAAAAAAAGCAACCTCAGAAGGCCACTAAAATCTAAGAGGCTCACCTAATTAGACTGTCATTTATCAGGGAGAAGAGTTCTCTTTTGGATAGCAAACATGTTCTGTGGCCCTTGAGTCAATCTACAAAACTACAAAGTAGAATAACTATGGATGGGTTACAGAGCTAGGGAGCTGGGGAGAGCTGTCAAGTCACCTCATTCTAGAGATATGGCCTTTGATTATTAGAGTCGTGTCCCCCATGAGTGTCACCGAATTATTAAATACAACCAGCAAATAAAAATGGCGTACATTCAAGCTGGATAGCACATGCCTATAATCTCAGCCCTCAGGAGGCTGAGGCAGGAAAGTCAACAGCCTAGCCAACCTGGGAACGACAGGTTAGACATGGGGGGGGAGTGGGGGTTGTACATAAAATAATGATCTGATAACACACTAGGAAACATGAAATAAGCCCCACAATTAAATTAGCATATGTCACAGAAGTGTGTGTTTGTATAAGTAAGGGTTGCTCAGGTTGCTCTTAGCTAATTTCTAGTAAACACTGAAGAGTTAATTATAGCCTCTGATAAATACATCCCTGGAATTTATCACTCTCATAACTGAAAGTCTGTGCCAAACACTCTATTCCCCCTAACTCCCAACATATCCTTTCCATCTTATGGTTGATTCTCAGCCCCTCCTCCATCCCTCTCCCTCCCCCCTTCTTTGTGATGCTAGATATAGACCTTAAGACCTCCAGCACTTGAGAGGCAGAGGCAGGTGGACCTCTGTGAGTTTGAGGCCAGCCTGGTCTACAGAGCCAGTTCTAGGATCTAAAGCTGCTGAGAAACCCTGTCTCAAAAAACACAAAAGAACTTAAGGTCTCGCTCAGTGGCAGTCATGCTGTCACACTCGGTTCACTTCCAATACTCCAAGCTTTTATTCTTGGTTGGGGGAAGGTTCCTGTGGAAGCAGGAAAAGGGCTAAAATCATGGTGGTCAGAGGTCCAGGAGCATCCTGTAGGTGCTGAAGGGCAGACCAAGAGCAACAAGCACTTTTAAACCCCTCAGCCATCCATCTCTTCAGCCCCATGTTTGAATTCTACTCCAGCTAAATCTTCATCTGCTGGGCAAGGCATGCCAACCCTCCAAGGCAGACAGATACACTATCTTCCAAGTCTGGGTGTAATGCATGCCTCTTGAGCCTCTTAAAACCAAGAGGATTTGAAGTGAGTTAGGAGTCCTCTACCCCGCCCCCCTCCAAATTCAACAGTATGTTCTGGAACCTCATGCATAGAGCTTTAAATGCTTCAAAAGGAAGTTCAGATGGGGATGAGATAAGGAACCATTCTTCTATCTCCTTTCACACTTCCATGTCCAAGCTAGCTCATTTGGCCCTCAGCCCTCAACAATAACTTCTCCCCTCTGTGTGCCTGAGACCTCAGGACAAGGCACCAGCTAATGTCAGTGCCAAGCCAACTCCCCCTCTTCCCTGCACTACCAGTGCTAAAGACTTGGCAGCCACTTCAAGGTCTGCTTCCTAGACAGACATTTTTTTAAAGACAGGGTCTCGCTGACCTGGAACTCACTCGTGGACCAGGCTTCCTTCAGAAACATCATAGGTTCTCTGAATACCTAACTGCAGACCACAGGGTTGGCCAGCAAAGGGTTAATGACCACAGGAATGGAGGGTCTCAGGCCACCTGCTGTGTCTTTGTATCCTGACCTCCCCAAAGACAACTGCTTCAAAGCCCTCTCAGCTGTAGGGACTTAAGGCAGTATTTCTTCATGAAGGGCTCACAGACCCTAAGGGTCAGTCCCAAGCCAAGGTGTACAGAAAAGCCTAAGGTCAGGAAATGTCAGCCTGACTTTATGTCTGAATGGAATCTACTTTGCCAGACTCCCAAAGACCTGAAAAGGAAAATAACTTATGTATGGAATTCCTGAATACTCAAAATAGGATGTGGTTCAATCACTCGGAAAATGGTTAGGCAAATATCTCAGTCCCGCTTCAAGCTTATTGGCTATATACTCCTATAGATCCTGAGAACACAGCAAATCTTGAGGCTATTACCTTGACCTTTGTCTCCCAGCTGGCCCCAGATATATGTAGGAAAATCCAAAAGCTAGATGGATTTCCAAGGAAGAACAGGTCAGAGCCATTAGAAATAGCCCAACAACTGGATGGCCAGATGTAGTGCACACCTTTAGTCCCAGCACTCGGAAGGCAGAGGCAGGCGGATCTCTGTGTAGCCCTGCCTGTCCTGGAACTCACTCTATAGACCTTTGAACTCCAACTCCGTATTTAATTGGGGTATCTAGGTAATGAGAAACTCTGGAACAAGCCTCCACACTTCTGCAAAGGTGGCCTGGACAAACGGCCTTTGAAAGAAGATCCAACTGTTTAGCTAAAGAACAGGCTTGTTGGCTTTGGCAGAAATGAGCAAGACCTTACTCAAACTATGAGCTGTGTACCCCACAAAAAAACCCTGACGAGGGCCAGCTGGCTTTGGGCACGCCATGGTTTGCCAACATTGACACTTCCTAGTCCTCAGTGGGAAGTGGGTCTTCATAAAAAACAGTACTGTTGGCTATTGCTACTCAGCTAACCTGTCCAGGAGGAATAAAATTCACACCTCACCTGAAAGGACTCAACTATCTGCAATGAACACAAAGTTCTGCAAAAAGACAAAGAAAGGGTGCAAGAAGAGGCCAGGAAAAGGAAGGAGGCGGGCCAGAGAAGCTGCAGAGAACTTGTCCTTGAGCCATTTCTAGCGAAAGAGAGAACGCCGTCCTCTTACCCCCCCCCCCAAACCAGGCTGCTAGTTCTTGCTGAGTCTAGGAACACAGACGGGCGTGACAATGCATAACAGACACATGCTCAAGGAGTGGAGGCCATTGGTGCTGTGTTCTGGAGACCAAGAGGCACAAACGGGACACTCTTCAAGATGCCTTCACCAGTGCCTCGGTTCTGAGATCTGGCTGTGCTCCCTGGTGTAGAAACAGCTGCCTGAGAAAAAAAGGCATGTGGCCTGGCTGCGCCTGCAGTAAGTAGCCCAAGGTTCAGCGTAGCGCCAGGAACTCTCCTGTTTTTGAGTTGTAAAAGGAGAAGCTTGGGGGAGGAGACCAGGAAAGGGAGAAGTGCAAAATGGGTGGGAGCAGCGCGAAGATGGGAGGGAAGTAGTGAGCCACGAGCATTTCATCATGCAAACGGGCGTGTAAGTTTCATCAGCGCCTATACTGGGGCTCCGGGGCAAGCTGGGAATGCCTGGTTCCTGGAGGCCGGCCCCCTCCCGCGCCAACTCAGCTTCCTCTTCTTCATGCTCCGCCACTTGAGCGAATTCAGCGCTGTGCCCTCCCCCCCCACTCCCCCAGACCCGAGGAACGTGTTGTCCTGCACAGCCCTGGCCGCGGCGCCAGGCCCCTGCCTGGAGACCTCACTCTGTAAATCAGCTTCATTCCACAGGTGGCCGAGACGTGCTCCTGGGGCAAGGAACACCCTCAACACCCAGCCTCCATTAGTGAGCGAGTGTCCCAACGCAAAACCAGGGTTGCCCTGGGAAGATAAAAAGTGCGCAGGCGTCCTTTATTCCAAGGGAGATAAACTAAACTTAATCTCCAGGCCTGGCCCTTCCTCTGCTCCACCCAGACCCCCATCCTATCCCACCCCATAACTGTCCTGACACCCACAGAGGCCGCACTCGAGCACATGGTGATCCTGGCAGAGTGCCTATCTGTGTGCTTGGGGCACTCGGCGATCTCACCCAGGAAAAAGCTAATGCTGGCAGGTTGCAGCCCTGTCCCCAGACCACGTTCCACCACACCCAGCAGGCGGGCAACCGAGACGGTGACCCTCCAGCCTTGCGGACACCCCTATCCGCTCTGTCCAGCTACGGAACCCTTGAACGCCGCAACCCCCGTCGCACGTGCGACTCCGGATCCCGGCGTGTCCTCCTGCACTGGAGGTCGCCCGGGACCCCGGCCCGCGCCTACCTCCCGGGGTGGTGCTGAAGAGCGTGCCGCCCGGGGTGGTGCTGTAGTCCCCGGGCGGGAGCTGCACGCCGTCACCGAGGGCTACCCGGCGAGTGGGGATGGCCCGGCTGGGAGTCTGGCTGCAGCTGCTACCCCCAGACATGTCTCCTACGTGCCGCCCACGACCCTCCAGCAGCCCCGCGGCACCTCGGCCCAGCCCTTCTCGTGCCCGGCCCGCCCCTTCCGCCTGGGCTCCACGCCCCCTGAGACTTGAGGTCCGCCCAGCCCCACCCAGCTCCAGCCCGCTGCCTGCAAGTGATTCCCAGCTGCTGACCGAGCGGCTTCTGCCCTCCAGTGCAGGACCCCCAATGTTGGGCCCTTGGGTTCCGGGGTCCCTCCCCGACGCTCTGGGAAGAACTATATAGGGGTGACGGTGGAGAAGCGCTTCGATTTGGTGGCAGTGTTTTCAGCGCACTAGACGGCCTCCTTTCTGTATCAGGATGTGAGCCTTCGATCCCCAGCCGTTCCTACTAGAAGAAAGTAAGGGTGTCCCCTCTTAACGTTTCTTTCGTTTCCACTGTGCGGTAGGAGTCAGAGCAGTGACTGAACAATGCACATTCCTGGCCTTGAAAGGAGGTGGAGTACGAGGGAACTAGCCAGCCAGCTGGGAACTAAATGTAAATCCTGTGTGGAATGGGCAGGATCGGCTGGCCAAAGACGTTTCCCCAACAGTCCTCGAATTGGAGTCAACTCCAGCACTTTGGTAGGGAGTGGAGGGAAGAGGCAAAGAGGACCATCATGTCTGACAGGATAGAAAAATCTGTCAATCTCCATGTAGTGGAGAATGCCCATAATTCCAGCACTGGGGAGGCTGAGGCCCTAGAAGGATCACGAGTTATGGGACAGCCCAGGCTTCTTAGTGGGACTACATCTCCACAAAGCAAAGCAAGCAATCAATAACAACTACAAACAGCCAAAAATTGGAGTTCAGAAAAGGACAGGGTTTTGCACAAGAACACACAGCTGACGAATAAATGCCTGAGGTCATTCTGTTGAATAGATGCCAGCCTTCACTGGAGTCCAGGCTAGCCTTTCTCTCTCCACCCTTGAGAACACACCAGGCCACCTTCCTCCCCTTGGGAGAAGCATTTTGAAAGGAGTTTCGCTTTTTACTTGTCTGGTTGCACTGGAGGCCCTAGGTTTTCCAGAACTAAGATCCAGGGAGGGCCTGCTTATAAAATTCAACACTGAAGCCAGGTATGGTGCCACACACTTGTCCCAGCAACTTGGAGGCTGAGGCAAGAGGATCAAGGGTTCTAACCCATGAAACACAACAAGACCCTGTCTCAAACAAAACAGAAAGCTTGAACTGGGTATGTAGCTCAAATTGTCCTAATACTGAGTAATCTGAGACAAGAGAAATACCACAAAGTAGAGGCCAGGCATGGTTGCAGTGAGTTTGAGGCATAGCCTGGGCCAGACAATGTGAGACCCTACCTCAAAAAGTGAGTGAAACAAAGTGGGGGTGGGGTGGGGGTTGGAATGCAGCAGACAATTTACCTAGTGTTACTAAGTTCTGGGTTAAATCACAAGCATCACATAAAACTTGGAATTGGCAGGACTTTGTTAGCTTGTAATCCCAGTACTCAAGAATTGGAGCTAGGAGGATCAGATATTCAAGGCCATCCTCAGCGATGGATCTATAAATAAGATGTAGTCTCACTTTTAAAAAGGAATGGGAGGAAGGAAGACTGGTAGCTACAAAGGAACTAAAAGATTGGACATATCTAAGCTTGGGCCCTCTTAGATCCTCATCAAAAGTCCCATAGTTCCCTGCACAAGGGAACTACTGTGGTGGTTTGAATAAGAATGGCCCCGTAGGCTCACATATTTAAAGATTAGTCATCAGGGAGTGAGACTAGTTGAGAAGGATTAGGAGGTGTGGCCTTGTTGAAGGAAGTATGTCACTGGTGGTGGGCTTTAAGGTTTCAAAAGTCAGGCCCAGTGCCTCTCTCTCTCTCTCTCTTCCTACTGCCTGTGGATCCAGATGTAGAACTCTCAGATGCTTTTCCAGCACCACATCTGCCTGCACGCCACCATGCTTCCTGTCATGATGTTAATGGACTAAAACTCTGAAACAGTAAGCAAGCCTCAATGAAACACTTTCCTGTAGAAGAGTTGTCGTGGTCATGGTGTCTCTTCCCAGCAATAGAACACTGGCTAAGATAGCCATTCCTGAGGATAAGGCACTTGGGTAGTTTCAGGAGATAAAGATGATTGCCAACAAGCCTCCAACCACGGCTAAGAGGGCCCTGGGCCTGAGGTGAGGGCCATATCCCAGCCTCCAAGGACACTGAGCATGGCCATTTTATGATCTGTTACAAGGTCCCTGCTGAATTCTGTTTCATGCAGACACATTTGCCTGTGGTGGTTTCTGCCTCTTTCAGAGCAGGAACTCATTCATATCATATCTTTTAATTGACTGTAAAAGGATATAAGGGTTGAGAGGACCCAGTAGATAAAGGTACTTGTTGCCAAATCTAACAACCTGAATTCCATCCCTAGAAACGCATAGTGGTTCTTCCCCTTACATGAGCACTATAACATGTGTTTACATGCTCCATACACCCATACACAAAATAAATACCTTTAAAAGAAATTTGAGCTGGGGATGTGGTGGTGTACACTTTTAATTCCAGCATTCGAGAGACAGAGACAGGTGGATTTCTGTGAGTTCAAAGCTAGCCTGATCTACAAAGGTTGTCCCAGTACTCAAGAGGTAGAAGCAGAAGGTCAGGAGTTTAAGGTCATCCTTGGCTATATAACACAGTTCATGTTGCAGCCTAGGCCATATGACTCTGTCTAAAAAGGGAGAAAGACCCCCTCCCAGACATAGTCAAGCCATTACTTCTCACATCAGATGTGGAAGTGATGATTTCTCACAAAAGCCAAGCAACCCTACTGCACAGACTCTTCAGGATCTGTTCTGACACATTTGGGGTTGTAGTCACAGATTTCAGATTCCAGTCACAAGAGGAGACTGTCCTCTGTGTTCTGAAGTGCTGGTTATTGGTTGAATTTCCCACAACTCTGCTCCTCTGGCTTGAATAATTTGTCGTAGCAATTCCTAGAACTCAGAAGAGACTCAGTCACACTCCCTGGTTTATTATAAAGAACATTACAAGTCTGCAGTGACTGGAGATGCACAGGGCCAGGCATGGGAGAACTATTTCCACCTTTCTGGCACTGTGTAACACTCTGCCTCGGTTGAAACATTCTCTGTTGGAGGGAGAAGGGAGGCACATATAACCCAGAAAATAAATTAAACTTACTGGACTCAGAAAATTTCAAGAGACCAAGTAAAGTTAAGAAAGTCACCAGACAAAGGCAGCCCCTCCCTCAAGGTTACCTAAGCAGTAAGTAGTTGCTTAGGAGGGGGAAGTTTCTGGTAAAGCAGCCTGCAAGTTATTCAGGGAGCTCAAAGAATGGAACCTTCATGAGTCATCATGCTGAGATGGACTTTTCAATGATGTACTTGCCTTTGAGTCATCCTTGCCTCTGTAAGTGACCTTAAGAAACCCATTGCTTTGTCATGCTACATGTAGGTGGAATCTTTTCTTTGACCTGCCATTTGTAAATAGTGTTTCACATCTCTCAGGAAATCATATAGCATCTGGGCATGCCACTTTCCAGGCACACTGACATGTTCAGCTACCAGAATTCTCCTTCCCCTCCCTTCTGATCATATCTGAGTCTTTTTTGCTTTGGAGCCTGTCCTGGAACTAGCTCTGTAGACCAGGCTTGCCTCGAACTTACAGAGATCTGCCTGTCTCTGCCTTCCAAGTGGTGGGATTAAAGGCACATACCACCAACGCCCTGCTTATATCTGAGTATTTAGAGGTGAGCACATCCTAAAGCTATCCAGGGGCACCTCCTGACTGAGCTAGTAGTGTCTTTTTTTAATTTTTATATATGATGTAATGTTTTTGATCAAACCCACTGCTAGCCCCTCCCCTCCCATGTCCCCACTGCTAATTTCTCTCCCTAATTTCTGTATTCCTTTGTAAACCCAGAGTACCACCAGTATGTGCACAGGACTTTCGTGCCCGGAAAATGCTGTTTCACAGCAGTTGTTCCCTACCTCTGGCTCTTTTGGTCTCTCCATGATGATCCCTGAGCCTTAGGGGAAACCACTCTGCAATCTTTATCACCTGTCTGTGTAATCTTTTTGTTGTTGTTGTTGAGACAAAGTTTCCCTGTGCAGCCTTGGCTGGCCTAGAGCTCGCTACATACTACATACTATACCGTATGTAGACCAGGTTAACCTTGAGCACATGGAGATCTACGGTCTTCTTCCCCTGGAGCTCTAGGATTAAAACTATGCACCTCCATACCTGGGCCACAATCTCTGTCTGTCTGTCTCTCTCTCTCTGTCTGTCTCTCTCTTGCTCCCTTTCTGTTTGTTTGTTTGTTTGTTTTATGGGGGTTTTTTTGTTGTTTTTCAAGACACGGTTGCACTGTTTAGCTCTGACTGTCCTGGAACTCGCTCCAAAGGTCATACCTCTCAAAATTGTCACACTGGGATTTAAGACTTGAGCACATGGATTTGAAGATTCAGTTTTACACAGTAGCCTAGAATGAGTTCCTTCTCTGAGTAATAAGTAATGGCACTGGTCCTCTGCCCAGGACCCCCGCAAGGCTTCAGTGTGGCTGTCTTTGTCTTCCCTTCCTCCCACTCACACTGAATCCCAGCACTCACCCTTCCAGCTTCATATCATCGACATAACCAACACTGTAGATCTGGCTGGCGTTGATCTCCAAGCTGACGGTAAAGTGTTAATTCCATGAATTTATAGACAGAAAGGTCCTGGGTTCAAATCCACTTTCTATTTCTGTGGACTTCATAAATCACTTTCAAAAAGGGTATAAAGCAGTAGCCGCATGGAGCCATTGGACTTAGAGGGGCTGTAAAAAGCTATGCGGCAGCCTGCCTTCCGGTTCTCGGGCTTAGACAGCTGCCTGAACCCAGACATCTCCCTTATCTGAGCCATAACATAAGGCAAAAGGAGACATTTATCACATGTGGAAGTGTCCTGGGGGCTTTGTCCTTTTAGGAGATAGCCTGGTCGCTAAGTCCTGGGTCAGAGGTTAGCACATACACATGAGAAAGCCTGTGAATAAATAAAAAAGGAAAGAAATGCCTGGGGTGTGGTGGGAAGGGGCTTGGCTGGAA